TATGATTTTTTTTCCAGCTCTTCTGCTCACCAAATCTACATTTATTTGACCAAAAATACAGTAAAAAGAGTAATATTGTGAAATATTACTATTTAAAATAAAAATTTTCTATTATAACATATTTTGAAAGGTAATTTCTTCCTGTGATTTCCCTGTGAATTTTCAGCAACATTACTCCAGTCATCAGCATCACATGATCCTTCAGGAATCATTATTGCAGCTCAAGAAACATTTATTTTTATAATCAATTCTGAAAACAGTTGTGCTGTTTAATATTTTTGTTCTTTTGACTTTAACTCTAAGTTAAAGAATTAAAGTCAAAAGAACCGCATTTACTTGAAATAGAAATCTTTTATAATATTATAAATGTGTGCTCTTGTTTGTGTTTTTGTGTGTATGTGTAAAAAAATCCAGCACACCCTAGCAACCGCATAGCAATGCCCTGGCAACCTTCCTAGCAGCTTCTGTAGAAATCCAGTCAATAATTTAATTATTTATAAGGCATTGGTGTCTTTTACGATATTGCAGTTGTCACCTTTTAATAAATGCAACATTATATCTGTGATTTACCACATTTAAAGAGGTTCTGTTTTACCAGTTTAATCTCAAATCTCCTTTTATCCTCCGATACCTGCTTTTCCCTCTCCAAAAAAATCCTCTTAAATCCCTAAACTTTGAGATGAAGTCGAGCTAATGCCCGTTATGTCTAGGGTAGTTGTTAAATGAACAGCGCATCGAGTCATTTGCCGCAAGCCAGTCCTCTTTTCCTGAGTTTCAAAGCTGCGCTCCAATTTCTCATTACTGGAGAGTTTTGCCTTTTTAATATTGCCTAATTGGCGCCCAAAACTCTCTGTGAAGGAGCGCAAAGGCTTTTTTTTTAACAGCCTCAAGTGTACGTGTGTGCGTGCTGGCTCCGGCTCACTCATTTTCACTTGGCAAAAAAACGCGATTTCAAAAAGTGACACCATTCCTGACGCCGCACATTTCTGCCCTGAGAGAGCGAGAAGATATCATCTCAGCGGCAAACAATAAATGAAAGAGCTAGGAGGACAAGAGCAGCAGGGACCAGAACACACAGGTTTGACAAATTAAAAAAAAAAAACACACACGGTGGCACGTCGGGGACGCACACTGCTTTCACACACGGGCTGGTTTGACACACACACACACGGTGGAAAGCTTCATTTAAGACACACGCTGTGCTCAGGAGGACGATATAAAGTGGTTGTAGTTTGAGAAGAAAGAACGTCTAAAACTCCTGGTGGAAAGCAAACGTGTTGGTAGAGCCTGCTTTCATGACAAAACTGTGTGAAGTCACTTTACTGTCCGAACTGTGACGTTAAAGTTCGTCCGAGTGATGCAAAAATCACAAAAAGTTACTGCAGGTCTCGCCTGGAGCTCATAAAAACACCTTGTTAAGTCTCTGAAACAGCGAGATCTGCAGGAAAAGATGTCGGCCAATCAAAAAGGTCAGCATTAAGGTCGGCTCAGCGCTGGACCGGCCCCCCCGGAGCTCGTTCCCATGGCAATGCCGCGGTGTTTGATGTGGGGAACAGAAGGGCCGGTTGCCATGGTGGTCGTTAGTGGCGATATCACGCTGTCCCTCATCGTTAAAGGGAACGAGAGAGAGGGAAACTCACTGCAGATGGCCGTTATTCCGATGGCATTCAGAAAAAGAGCAGAAGCTGAAATGAGGGCTGACGTCCTTTTCCATTTACACAGAAACTGTAAATAACAGATCTGATGTAGATCTGGTGCATTAGTGTTTTGTTTTAGAGGAAGGTTTCTTGAGGAGTGATATTACTTTTTAAGTGATTAGACTTATGATTTTCGGCTGATGAATGATACATTTCATAATCTTACATTGAAGGAGGGACCCAAGCCTTAGTAATGAGAATTGGAGAGAAATCTGCTTAATTGTTATATAAAAGAAAAATCTGTACTATCTGTATGTAAAAAATATTCCTTATTTTTTCCCCTTCTCATTTTGGGGTGAAGCTCAAATGTGTTCATGACAGGTTTTATGAGAGTCAGATATTTAAAACATTTAATGTTGGTTACTTTATAACGATACGGTTGATCTATCCCACACTTAAAGGAGTGTTTTGAAGCCCAAAGGAACAAAATACTCTTATACAACCCTGTAAAAATGCAAACAAATGCACAGAAATTCCTACAGCATCAAAATCTACAACCATTTTAGACAATTAGGGCGACGTGGAATGAGAAATAAACATCTTGAGGATTTTGCACACGCTTTACCTTGGCAACGGCGGTCTGCTTATACATGTGTGTGATGAGACTCATCACCTCCACAAACTGATTCTCACTCTTAGAGCTCATCAGTTTCTCCCACTGCTCAAAACTAGCACTCGCTTCCTGTGAGAAAGAGAGAGAAAGAGAGAGAGAGAATCCATAAAGGCCAGCACAATTAATGATATCGTAAACTGTCCTACTTTCCCTGTGTTTGGCAAAAAGCAGCAAGAAAAACAAAAAATAAAGAAATATGAAGTGTGAACGAGAGAAAGTGAGGGGTAGAGGGAGCGAGAGGGAGGAGACGCAATTCCCTGAAGTTGCAGAACGACTCCTTGGGTCATGTGACCTGCCCAATTATAGCGCTACAGTGACAGCAGCAGTGGAAGATGGAAACACACCGTACCGGCACCATAAATCTCCTGCGCGCACACACACAAAATCCTGCTCTGCCTGCCCCTAAAACAAATGCAGATCCTCTCCGTCTCCTTTCACACGAACACTGCACTACCCGAGAGGTGGTGCCAGGGTTTGGACATCAGACTGACAGGAAGTCAAGCAGTGAATGAAGGAAACAGAGTATGTGAAAGACACACAACCATTATTAGCCAGGGCTCTTTTATAAGCTTCACAATGTGTAACTTGACAGTAATAATGAGGTGACAAATGTAGGTGGATAGATAGATGGATAGATAGATAGATAGATAGATAGATAGATAGATACTATAGACAGAGAGATAGACACACAGATAGATACTATAGACAGACAGATAGACAGATAGGATAGACACTGTCGATACAACAGAAAGACAGAAACTATAGACAGTAAGACAGACAGATAGATACTATAGACAGACAGACAGATAGATACTATAGACAGACAGATAGATACTATAGACAGACAGATAGATACTATAGACAGACAGACAGATAGATAGATAGATACTATAGATAGACAGACAGACAGATAGGATAGACACTGTCGATACAACAGAAAGACAGAAACTATAGACAGTAAGACAGACAGACAGATAGATACTATAGACAGACAGATAGATAGATAGATAGATAGATAGATACTATAGACAGACAGATAGATACTATAGACAGACAGATAGATAGATACTATAGACAGACAGACAGATAGAGATAGATAGATAGATAGATAGATAGATACTATAGACGAACAGATAGATAGATACTATAGACAGTAAGACACAGATAGATTGATACTATAGACAGACAGACAGATAGACAGATAGGATAGACACTGTCGATACAACAGAAAGACAGATAGATAGATACAATAGACAGTAAGACAGACAGACAGAAAAATACTATAGACAGACAGATAGATAGATAGATAGATATATGCTATAGACAGATAGACACAGAGAAACAGACAGACAGACAGATAAATACTATAGACAGACAGACAGACAGATAGATAGATAGATAGATAGATAGATAGATAGATAGATAGATAGATAGATAGATAGATGCTTTAGATACTATAGACAGACTGACAGATAGATAGACTGTTGATACAACAGACAGATAGATACTATAGATACTATAGACAGAAATACACCATAGACAGACAGACAGAGAGATAGATAGATAGGATAGACACTGTCGATACAACAGAAAGACAGATAGATAGATTAGATACTATAGGCAAAGACAGACAGACAGATACTATAGACAGACAGATAGACCGATATCTATCTCTGTCTGTCTATAGTATCTAAAGCATCTATCTATCTCTCTGTTCTGTCTGTAGTATTGACAGTACCTGTCTGTCTGTCTATAGTGTCTATAGTATCTATCTGTCTGTCTGTCTATAGTGTATATAGTATCTATCTATCTATCTAGATACTACAGTCAGACAGACAGATAGATACTGTACTAGACAGACAGATAGATAGATATATAGATACTATAGACAGTACAGTATCTATCTGTCTGTCTGTCTAAAGACAGACAGACAGATATGTAGATACTATAGATAGACAGATAGATAGATAGATAGATAGATAGATATATAGGTACTATAGACAGACAGATAGATAGATATTTAGATACTATAGACAGATAGATAGACAGATAGATAAATACTAAAGACACTATAGACAGACAGACAGACAGGTACTGTCAATACTACAGACAGAACAGAGATAGATAGATAAACAAATAACAAAATAAACAACATTACACCAAATACATTTGGCTGTGAGGGTCCGCTAGCAAACGAGTCACAGGGTGTGTGTTTGCTCGGCCCAACTGTTCGTTAAGACACAGGTCGTTAATTTTAAAAGTGATCCGGTGAGATTTGGGTTATGATGGTAGCTGAAGTTGAACATCTGTCCCCTGGATCAGTGTGTGTGTGTGTGTGAGAGAGAGAGAGTGTGCTGACAGCAGATGATTTATGAGGTCCTACAGCAGGTGAGCTGCTCTTTGTGTTTCTGAAATCTGACACACACACTCAAAACTTGCTGTACAAGCACTCCTGCCCACACACACTCATTACTTGGAGAGAGAGACAGCGAGAGAGACAGACAGACAAAATAATCGCAAGGAAAAAAGAGAGGCAGCAAGATACATAGAGGGAAAAAAAAACATCTTTATCTCCAGCCAGACTGAAGGATTCTCACACATTGCCGCCCTGGTCCACAGAAAGTTCACGTGAAAATGAAATAACAGAGGAACAAGCACCTCTGACATTTTTTTTTTTAGACGACACAGCAATTATAAGCCGAGCCCCGCTAAACGCGACGGCTCGGAACAGAATGTGATGATTACTAACGTCCATTCCTCTTTGAATAACATGCTGGCAGCTTGTTCGGCTGCCAAAGAAGGAAAAAAAAGATGTGGAAATAAAAGAGAGTGATCAGAGACAAGTGAGATGAAATGATAATTTGTGTTAATCGGATACTATTGCCTAGCAACAGGCACGGGGCGGTTATACTGGGGTAAATCACTATATTTAACTGCTATTGTTCTGTTAGTTCAGAACAAGTGATGGAAAAAAAGTGTAAAGGAGAAAGAGAGAGAGACAGCAGAAAAACTACTTGGAATGGATGATATCAATGCCATTTCTAACATAAGAAACTTTCACCTTTTGTTTTTTAATGTAACCTTTTTTGTTTTTCGAACATTTTTTAAAATTTAAGGTATTAATTTAATTACCAGTAAAATGAATGTATACATAAAAACGATTCAGAGATGATAATTTCTTAATGTAAATGTTATTCTTTTTTCTTTTCTTTTATTCAAATGTTTCCTTCTCACTATTTTTAGATTTATTAAAAAATCTTAATATTAATTAATATTAAAATAATAAGTATTATTAATTTAATTACTAGTAAAAATGTATGTATAAATATAAAAAATCATAAATTAAAATATTTTGTTGTTTTTTTGGAAGTTATTTTTTTATTTATTGTTTTCAAGTTATTATCTATTTTTAGATTGAAGGTATTTTTACTTGAATTTCTAGTCAAATAAATACATACATAAAAAAACTATACAGAAATTATATATATATATATATATATATATATATATATATACACACTCACCTAAAGGATTATTAGGAACACCATTCTAATACTGTGTTTGACCCCCTTTCGCCTTCAGAACTGCTTTAATTCTACGTGGCATTGATTCAACAAGGTGCTGAAAGCATTCTTTAGAAATGTTGGCCCATATTGATAGGATAGCATCTTGCAGTTGATGGAGATTTGTGGGATGCACATCCAGGACACGAAGCTCCCGTTCCACCACATCCCAAAGATGCTCTATTGGGTTGAGATCTGGTGACTGTGGGGGCCATTTTAGTACAGTGAACTCATTGTCATGTTCAAGAAACCCATTTGAAATGATTCGAGCTTTGTGACATGGTGCATTATCCTGCTGGAAGTAGCCATCAGAGGATGGGTACATGGTGGCCATAAAGGGATGGACATGGTCAGAAACAATGTTCAGGTGGACCGTGGCATTTAAACGATGCCCAATTGGCACTAAGGGGCCTAAAGCGTGCCAAGAAAACATCCCCCACACCATTACACCACCACCACCAGCCTGCACAGTGGTAACAATTTTTTTTCTATTTTCTATTTCTATTTATTTATATAGCACACATAATACAACTGACGTTGCCCAAGGTGCTTCACAAACAAAAAAATAAAACCATTTAAAACATTTACATACAATTACATACATACAAACAATGCAATATGAAATAATAATAAATAATAATAACTACTTCAGACTTGCCCCCATGCTACATCTAATAAGTATGTTTTTAACAACAACTTAAACACGGCCAACGACTTTGCTGATCTGATAGAGTGCGGGAGATTATTCCACAGTGTCGGACCGACACTGTGGTCCGACACTGTGGTCCGACAACAAGGCATGATGGATCCATGTTCTCATTCCGTTTACGCCAAATTCTGACTCTACCATCTGAATGTCTCAACAGAAATAGAGACTCATCAGACCAGGCAACATTTTTCCAGTCTTTAACTGTCCAATTTTGGTGAGCTCTTGCAAATTGTAGCCTCTTTTTCCTATTTGTAGTGGAGATGAGTGGTACCCGGTGGGGTCTTCTGCTGTTGTAGCCCATCCGCCTCAAGGTTGTGCGTGTTGTGGCTTCACAAATGCTTTTCTGCATACCTCGGTTGTAACGAGTGGTTATTTCAGTCAAAGTTGCTCTTCTATCAGCTTGAATCAGTCGGCCCATTCTCCTCTGACCTCTAGCATCAACAAGGCATTTTCGCCCACAGGACTGACGCATACTGGATGTTTTTCCCTTTTCACACCATTCTTTGTAAACCCTAGAAATTGTTGTGCGTGAAAATCCCAGTAACTGAGCAGATTGTGAAATACTCAGACCGGCCCGTCTGGCACCAACAACCATGCCACGCTCAAAATTGCTTAAATCACCTTTCTTTCCCATTCTGAAATTCAGTTTGGAGTTCAGGAGATTGTCTTGACCAGGACCACACCCCTAAATGCATTGAAGCAACTGCCATGTGATTGGTTGATTAGATAATTGCATTAATGAGAAATTGAACAGGTGTTCCTAATAATCCTTTAGGTGAGTGTATATATATATATATATATTATATTTTTCTTTTCTTTTGTTTTATGCAAGTGAAATTATTATATAAAATGTTTTATCATAAATTATTAAAAATGATTTTGTAAACATTAATGTTTTAATCATAAATTTTGTTTTATGCAAGTTTTTACTTACGAAAATAAGGGCCAGGACTCGAGTACTCCATCACTGGTATTAGCATGGCACATATTCAAAAAGCATGGTACTGACCATGGTAACATAACTTTTTATATTCTGAACTGTGAAGCTGTGGGAACTTGAGAAACTTGTTTTGAAACGTTCACTGCATACCTTGGCGGCATCTTTAGGAAGGTCGAAGGGAATTCGCTGGCGTATTTTGGGTGGCAGTTGAGTCAGCACTTGATTCTTGAGTCTACGAATCATAATCTCACTCAGACGTTGGTGTAACTCGTCCAAATGAGAAGCGCCGCGACAGTCCCACTGCCGTCTGCCCCCGAAAAACCTGCACAAAAAAAACACAGGCATTTTACTTATTCATTCTACACACTTCTGCTTTATATATCCACCTCATTTCACCACAATCCTCAGGCATTATCATTGTAATGAGACCTTTTCGGTCCTAAATGTGTGTGTGTACGAGCGATTTAATTATGAATATTTTATATTTACTGCTGCATATACGAATGATTGACAGGAACTTGTGGGCACGCTTTCGAGTGGCAGAGCTTTTTCCTCGGTAGATTAATTTGTACTCGGAGACCCTTGTGTGAATCGCTGTCGTTTCATTTCTCCACTGTAGATTTGATAAGAGAAACAGGGGAACAAAACTCCTCTCAGATGTTCTGAACACCTCTCATCTTCATGACACAACTCATATTTTGGCTTCACATAAATGTTGCTACTGCACACACATAAACAAATTATCTCTGCACCAAAACCTAGGCAGCTGTCTACAATTCAAAGCATCATAGAGTTGTGTTACAAGTGTAAAATCTATTAAAAAAGGTATTTACATTGTCTTTTAGGGATGCACCCATATGAAAATTTTGCCCGATACGATAATTCTTTAGATTTGAGAGCCGATAACCGATATATTGGCCGATAAATTCACATTTCTCATTATAATTTTATGTTGTCTATATGACAGACTTGGGCTGCACGTTGCACTTAATTGTATTTTCCTTTTTTGAAGTGATTCCAATCATATTTTAAGCAATTCAAAACCATCATGGTGAACAACTGAAGTGTGTAAGCTGAAGGAAATAATCCATTATTTATCGGCTTTAATATATCGTCCAAATTTTCTTTTTGGGCCGATAACGATACCATTAAAAAAGAACATATACAACCCTATTTTCTTTACCAAATTTTAAGCAAGTGTCACATGTATACTTTGAGAAAACAATCCCAGAATGCACTGCTATAAGACTAGTGAAAAAATATAGTCAATTTCATGAGATACTGAAAAACAAATAAAAATATAATAATGGAAAAATCATAGGATGGAACAAAATTGGCAGAACTTAAAAAATGTCCACACAACTACATCTTTGAAAACAATTTAACTATATGATTATCAGTAAAAGTTGCCTGATAAATAAATGGTAAATGATAATAATAATAATAATAATAATAATAAAATGGCGTGTAGATTTAGCGTCAAACAACTAGTTGCAAGTTTTATAATTAAATAAATGTAGGAATGTTTACTGTTTGGATTGCACTTAAACTGCATGGCATTGATGCTTTTTATTAATTTGTCCTTTGAATTCTATATTGTAGAATAAAAAGAAAAGTTTTTACTTGTAGTGTGCGTTGCAGTATTTTTTGGCGTAGTCGCTCCAGGTTCCAAATCTCCGTGGATACAAAGCATCAATTTGCATGAAAAGCTGAAAGAGAGAGTAAGATGTCAAAACATCAAACAATGTGACATCATAAATGTCATATGCAGAACTAACTTTACAGTAGCAAAAAAATACCATTAAAAAGAGGGAGACTTTCATAGTTCTGACCTTGGACCTTTGCAATCATGAGTTTATTGAAAATCGGTCAGCAGATTTCTGTTTATAGCTGGTGCAAATGAATACTCTTGCTGATTAAAGCTGATTAAATCAGGTATTAAGTTCATAAATTGCAAATGTGTTTCCTCTAAGAGAAAGTCTCACAGTGCCCATTATGCTCAGTTAGCATAAACTAAACAGCGGTTATCTTGATGAATTAAGAAAACACCGTCTTTCATAAGAAGTCCAGCAAGACGTTTCAGGGGAATTAGGGAAGCAATAGAGGACGAGACTCCTCACATAATATACACACAAGGGTCATCTTGAGAGGTCTTTACATTTTTTAACCCCGTGAACATTTTCAAGACGGAAAATAGCAGCTCTCACAATATACTAGGAAAGTAAACAGAATGTAACATCCCTTAAATGAAGCCTTTATTATTGTCTTTGTATAATGTATTGGTCAATTAACTGGCCATCAGTGACTGGTAGTACAGTACTTTAAAAAACAATTCAGAGTAAACACAATATATAATATGACATGAATAAAACCGAGGCTGTGAAGAGTGGGATTACAGTTTGTTCAGTGGGCCTCGCCTCATTCATAAAACAAGCAGAATGAATTTCATATAAAATGTTCATGAAACCATTTTTGCCACTGTCGAAAGACTGTACATAAAAAATGGTTTTATGAACTATTTACACAGAAATTTAGTCTGTTCTTAATTTTTTTTTTACGAATAATTTGCACAGATTTGTTCTACTCGTAAGAATAGTTTTTACAAATTATTTTTACATAATGGTTTAAGACCGATTTGCACACATTTTTTCTTCTGTAAGAATGGTTTTCGTAATGATTTGCGATTAGAATTCGTAATGGTTTTGTGAACGATTGGCACAAAGATTCGTTCCATTCTTAAGAACAATTCTTTCCCAAACAATTTGCAAATAAATTCGCTCTGCCCGTAAATATGGTTTTGTGAATATTTTGCACAAATTCAAATTGCTCTTAAATTTTTATTTTACTTTAAAGTTTTGCAGAATAAGAAATTCATTCTATAACAATGGTTTTACGAACATTTTGCACAAATTCATTTTTATAAGAACGGTTTTGCGAATGATTTGCAGAGAAATTCGCTCTGCCAGTAAGAATGGTTTTACGAACATTTTGCACAAATTCGCTTTGCCCGTAAGAATGGTTTTCCAAGCAATTTGCAAAGAAATGTGCTTAGCTTTTAAGAATGATTTTCCGAAATTTACACAAATTTGTTCTGCTTGTAAGAATGGTTTTGCGAAAAATTTGCTAAGAAATTTATTCTGCCCGTTATTCTGGTTTTGTAAAAATTTTGCACAAATCCACGCTGCTCGCACAAATTCACTCTTCTCCTAACAATGGTTTTACGATCGATTAGTAAGACTTGATTAACAAACGATTTAAAGAGAAATTCAACTAGAAATCACAAAAAAAGTGTGATTTTTTTTTTACTAACAGTAACTATGCATGCAACAACACGACATATTGTTGAATCAGAATTTTTGTATGCCTCAAATTAAATGCCCGAAAATAAATAAATACGAAAATTCAATGCCCTTGTTTTCGGTTCACCAGAAATATATAAAAAACTTATTTTCAATGTTTCTGCGGCTGAACGATTGACATCCAGGTACAGAACGATGTGACGTATTATTGTACCATCATTTTTATTGTTTCAATTTAAATATAGTGTCCATCCCGTTTAGAATCTACAAGAATTTAGAGGCCTGATTCTTGTGGTTCTAAAACTACCATGAATAAGGATTAGGACATGAAAGCAAAGAGACAGATAATGTAAAAGAGAAGGCCATTGGGCAAAAACACTAAAGAGAGAGAGAGGAAGAGAGACAGGAACGGAGCGAGACAGTGTGAGGACGAGGGTGTTTGTGCAAACTACAAATATTGCTGGCACACCTCTGGACAGAGTAATAACAGCAGAGATGAGCGTTGTGCTTTTGAGACCTCAGAAAGAGAGCTCTCTCTCTCCCTCTCCCTCTCTCTCTTCCTTCTCATTCAGAGCTGTGGCTCTAAAATCACTTTAAATCCTCACTTTTTTTTCCTCACATCACCCCTTGGTATTGATATTCCCCCTCAATAGAGGTCACTGGGTTAAATAAACACACACGCCAGCGTAATATCGAAGCAAACAGAACAAGGTGGACAAAACCACATGAAATGGGATGTCACTGGTGCCAAATTACTGGGCTGTGTCGTATAAAAGGATAAACGTTAAAAACGATCTCTTGTTTGATTGATTAATTTAATTTCGCTGCGAGTGGGTCATTAGACCAGCGAGATAGTAACTCCGTGACAAATTCCAAGCTGTCACTTTACAAAAGAAATGGGAACGACTTTACATGTTTATTTCTACCGTAAACTAATGTGCCGAACAGGGAACTTCATGTTATAACCCGATCATTTTATAGTGTGTAGTCGTACAATAGAAAAATAAATGATTTTAATAACTTAGTGATAATATTCAGGGGGGAAACTTATCAAAACTTTTAATTTATGATATTATCGTACTTGCAATTTTGGGGGACATGAGCGATGACTGGAGGATGGGAAATATGTCAGCTAATGACAAGATCTCCTCCTGGTTTAGCTCAAACAAAACCGTGCTGCATATTACCAAATGGCTTAATAAATCAAAGCAAATGACAAACAGATTTGGAGGAAACCGTACCTCCTCTGGTCTGCCCAGCGCCGGGGTGCCAGTGAGAAGGATGGCACGCTTGGCGTTCTGAATGATTGGCACCAGTATTTTACTACGAGCTGCGTTGCGAGACTTCAGGTAGTGGGATTCATCCACCAGGATGACGCCGAAACGTTGCTTGTTCAGGGCCTCCAGCAGGGGGCGCGCGTCTGTCGTGAGCAGCCCGTATCCCAGTATTGTCACTTTGCTAGTGCTGATACTCCTGCAAAAAAATAAATAAAACAAATTCAAATGTGCAACAGATTTATATTCACTTCCTCAATAACTGTACCTGGTCTTTTTGTGTAAGAGTCATCAATCCATGTAACGCTAAAAAACAAAATGGCAGGTCTCCATCTCTAAAACAAGTTTCTGATGATGGTGACGGATGCAGGAATAACCAATAATATCATGGTTAAATTTTCACAATTCAATCTGATTAAATTTAAGTCCCACCTGGTTCCATTTTGAAAATGTCACATTACAAAAATTGCGTTGTGAATCCATGTCTGTTGTCTTTAAAGACTTTTATACACAATATCACAAAATAAAGCTAGAGTTTTCAGCTAAAAGCAATTTACTAAACAATATTTCATTTTATTTACTGTAATATTTAATAACTTTGTAAAGATTTGTAGGATTTGTGTATGATTAAAGCGCTTTTTATCGGAAAATTTGCTATACATTTTAGCCTCCTTTATTGCAGACCGTTTTAAAAATACCAGACGTACGTTGAAATGCGTCAAGTTACAGACATTGAAGATTCCGTTGTGAAATTCGCTTTTATACACAATATATACAACCGAGACAAGGTAAGCTCAAATTTAAGCAAAAAAAGTCACGCAGCATCTCCATGTTGACGTTAACAAAAATCGAGCTTGCTTCTAAAAACGAACGGGTAAAAATGCCTCAAAATACCGTTGAGTAGGCCAAACGAACTTTGGGCAAAAAAAAATAAAAATAAAAAACTATAAACGAATCTGGTCAGTTGCATTACTTTTTGGCAGCCGCTATCTGCACTAAGTGAAAATAGCATATTTTCTTAGCTACGGCTGCTATTTAAATTTAGTTTAAATAGCAATAGATTCTATTTACATTAAGTACATCAGTGATGGGGAAAAGGAGTAGAGCAAGTTCGGCGAATTCGAAAACGGGTCGATTCGCCTCAAAACGTTCTGCCACGCTATTGGTGATGGTGACAATCCCGTGTCTTGGACAGAGTTACTGTAAATAGCCTCCGCCAACTATTTTTTTTTTGTCTAAAACAAAAACAATATTTGCTCTGCTAGTAAGTTGTAACTTACAAATCCGTCACAACAGAAACTGTGCACACATAGACATATTTATAATAGTTTATATTATTAGTGTTTTTATTGGAAAAGCATTTTACAATCTTTAGCCTCACAGTTTTCAGTTACAGACTGTGTAAAGACGCCAGCCGTACACTGAGAGGAAATGATGTTTGTGCACTATGAGCCATTAGTTAAAATATAATTCACCATGCTGACAGGCCTTCATCAAGCTCGGAGGGAGATGTTGCCATGGTAACGACTTTACAGGTCGGCTCAACCTCGGGCCAGAATTCTCAGGGTAAACAGAGCAATTTGTGAGCCTCTTTTTAGAAGCGTCAATAACAGGCAAAAAGACAACATGACCCTCTGACTGCATGGGCTGTACAATCAATCCCAGCATCCTCTGTGGAAGGGCAGCTCTCATAAGCTCTCTCTGTATCCTAAGATAGAGCTAAAGTATTCTTCATGGAAGATTCCTAGTCGCAAAAGGCGAGATAAGTTAGGATTTGTTTAATATCTCTCCGGGGAGGTGATTTGATTTCATATGTCTGCGGTGTAATTTGTATTGTGGTATAATTTTGTAGTCACTGAACAGGAGATTTTACTTCTGTTTTGTATTTCTACAGGCTGAAAATCTGCAAGAATGGCGTTCATAACTTACTAAAGCTACTCATAAAAATGTGTCACAAAGAGGATGAAAAAAACAGAAAAAACTTTTCCGGAGGCTTCTTCAAAGTCAGACTCAGTCATAAATTTCATGAATCAATTTTGCCACTATGATTAAACTCACACACAGTCTGAAAGAATCAATCTTTCATTTTGAGCAAAAAATCTCTTGGCCACCAGTGCAGACGTTCTCTAGTACGGTCCACTGGATCCCAATGAATTACGAACCGATGTCCTCTTTTTTTTGTGTGTCAGGGACTGCAAAACAAACTTAAACGATCGATTACCCAAGATGCCCATTGGGTGTTTGAATGTAGCTAACATTTACCAGGCATAACATTTTCTCCACTTTAACAACATTAAGATCATGTTTATGTGACGTTTTATAAGAAGATTATCAGATGTTTGGACAAAAATAAAACACTTAAAATAGAATGCAATTTTCCAGATGGTGTGCGCTTAGCAAATAGTTACAAATAATAATAATAAAAAAAAATATTCATTATCTTTTACATTTCAAATCTTTTAAATTATATATTAAGTTCTAAATATAAATCACTTAAGATGTTAACGCCAAGAATGGATTTCTCAATGGAGAAAATTACTTTGATTATCAATTCACTTCCTTTCCAACTGATGTACTCTATTGAACTTAAAGTTGTCGTACATTGTATCGGTCTTGCTTTCCACCAAGTTGATGTCTCTGGGGTCGAGTTCAGGAAGCCACTTCTCCAGCTCTTCAATCCAAGGGTATTTGAGAGATGAAGGTACCACGATCAGCAGAGGCCATTCCTGTTTGAAGATATACGCCACAGAAATGGCCTGGATCGTCTTTCCCAAACCCATCTGATGGCAAAAATGGTGAGTGGTCTTAGGAGTCTCTGGGAAACCGAATTAGATCAGAGTAGAGAAAAGCAAATTGCTCTTACCTCATCTGCAATCATGCACCTGCAAAAGAGAAATGAAAACTAATAAGGCACATCGAACTCACGCTTTCAGAGTTCAGTGACGTTGACCTACCCGGACTCCAGAACATCTTCAAGTCATTCTCTAAATAATTACCCTCTCTGTATCACGTTTTTAATTTCTTAAACCGATGTCCGGAGAGGCACGTATTGATCCAGGCAATATTGTGAAAGCTGGGCTTCCTAGCCAGTGCACATTGCTCAATATAATTTCCCGCACACCTGAACTCAACGACCAATTTCACACTGGCAGCCAGACAGCTTGGAAAAACTCAATCCCGAAGCAGAGCCGTGTGGAGCCCTATTGCGGCATACAGGGGTTTATTTAAAATGGCCATTCATTTAAGACCCCAATAAACAACTAATATAGGCCTTGAATCAATCAAGCTGCTCCTCTAAATGAAATTTAGCCAACATCCTGAGCTCAGCATGTTGTCGTTGAAGATATGAGCCACTTGATTCCTAATCAAAGCAGCAACAAAAAGATCCATATTGTACACTTTCGTAGCCTTACATTTTTTCATTTAAAAATAGTCTACAAAAATGTGAAGAACGTGACCATTTTACACCCGCTCGATAACCCTTAGAATTAAACAGGCTGTTTTTGTTACTATACAAGTTGGCAGATATTTGACCATTTTGAGAATATCGTAATCAGTTAATAACCTTAAAAATATTAAAGGTAATATTTTGTTGGTAAAATTGAGCAAAAACAGTTACTAAAGGGTTTTTAAACATAACAATATTAACTTCTAATTTATTGATCTGTTGTGTAAATTCAATTTCACATTTGCACTCATGCTATTGTGGACAGAAACATCACTCGTGTGATATTACGCTCATTACTTGTGTGATATTGCTTAACTATATCATATGATATAAATATGAGATAAAAATCTCCTGAAGGGGTATTTTTCCACAATCTTTAATCTTAGGGGCATTAAATCAACAGCCCTTATATATATTATATATAAGGGCTGTTGACTTGTGCAAATATATATACATATATATATATATATATATATATATATATATTGCAGTTTAGTTTTAATGAATGATCTGAGTAAATTATAAAGGCAGCTTTGTGATCATTATAACATCTCTGCATAGTAAACTTGTTCAAAAGAAAATAACATAAAAGTGTTTTATGAACATCTTGTATATACTTTTCATCTCTTGCCTGGTGTTTAGTGTATGCTAAATCTGATCTAAAGATCTAAAACTTCCTCCAATGCCACCTGAAGATAGATGCAAATAAATATAGTACAACAAGCCTACAACATTTGTCTATATCCTGGTGATACCAGTAAGAAAGCAAAGCATCAAGACTTTTATCATTTCCGTTACTGAAATGTCACAGTGCTCCGCGAGTCACCCGTATCCATTGTTCAAACAGCGGATCTACTCATTAGAGGGGAGATGTTTCCTCTTTTTCATCTAACTTTCTTTCTTTCTTTTTTTTTAAGTAATGCCGAGAGACACTGATCTTCGGTGGATTCTTTCAGGGGAAAAAATTTAATTGCTTATGCGTGTAGGCAATGTTCAAGGATTTACTGGGAACAAATGAAGCAGATACAAGCAGGGCTACAAAATGAAAGAGCTTTGCATCTTTTTTTGTTTTTATTTCGTTTATTTACTCTTTTTGGTTTATTAATGCGGATTCCAGCAACGCCTCAGTTGGCGTACGGGATGACGTACGGGATGGTCATTATAAACGCGCTCCCTTGACAGCAGCGCATTTAGCTAATGCTGATGCGGCATTTGCATAGTGTACAAATACAGTGCATTTTCCAAACAATACATTACACAGAAGTCTAATGCAGCAAAATGTATTGTAACAATTTTAGAAACAAATCCATCTCAATTGATTCATTGATACAAACAAAAAGTAAGTATTAGTGGGGGGTTTTTTTGGACATCATAGTACATCATGTTGAAAGTACTAGAATTGTTGTTCTATTATGAAAGCAACATGTAAATATTGTGACAATACCTTTTTGTATAATTAATTAATATAAATACTAATAATAAATGTGCGTATATGTACACACACACACACACACATATATATATATATATATATATATATATATATATATATATATATATATACACACACAATAAAATGTATATTTAAAATATATATATATATATAAATGTCAATTGTCAATTCCCTTTTTTAAATAAATAATAATAAATGAAGGAACATACATATTATATAACATATAATACATTTTTAAATATACTGAAAATAAATAGCATTAGTATGTTTTTTGAAAATGATAGTCCAGAATCTCTATAGAATTTCTTTGTTTTTAAATAGTAAAACTCCTAAAAGTTTTGGTTTATTTCCAGGTTCAAACCCCACTAAAACAGCATTATATATAAAAGTACCATGGTATTAATGTCACTGCATTTTGAAATGGCACAAATACTATTACTAAAGGTAATAAGGCATAAAAGTAAGCTAATTTAACCTTATGATATTTTTTATCAGTATCGATAACAGAATAAAGTGACCTCTTGAAATGTCTAGGAGCGACAGAAGAGCAAATAAAGATAAAGAGGTGAGAGACAGAGAGATAGAGAGAGACAGCTATGATGCCCATTTCATCTTGTTTTCTCCTCCCTTACTGTGAAAGGATGATTAACAGCCTCGGTCCTGCTGGTGGGGTTTTATTTTTTCTTGCCTTCAAATTGTTGGAGCACTTGCTAGCGCTGTGTAATGCGTTCTCACACGCCTCGAGTGGCTCTCAGGTGTGTGTGTGTGTGTGTGCCGTTTCACACATTAATCACTGTTCTTTAAATAACGGCGCTTGCAACCGATGCACCGCTGTGTCCTGAAGGAGGGCCCCGTCTGATTTGCCTGTCAACAACACCGTGAACTTAATTCGAGCATCTTTTTAAATGTTACTGCTTCAGCTTGTGAAGTTTCATAATTCACAATAGTGTAAATATATCAAAGCTAACCAACATAGACTGAAAAGTCACAAATCCAACTAGTCAAATATTAAAATATGTATATTGTTCAGCACATCCTTAATACCTTCTCAAGGCATTTTAAAACTAGTCCATACACACCTGCTGTTTTTTTGCCTAAGTCATTGCCCCTGACATGAAGGCCACCGATAGAACTAGTAAAGACAACTTAATTTGCACTAATTCGCTTTGTTATTTCACTTTCATTACAAGTGTAATATTGAATAATCTCTTAATCTTCCTCCATGGCTTCATTTGCACCTCTGATGCAATTATAAGCGGCTGTACAGTATCACTTCTTCGCAGCCTTCATCTCAGATCAATATCTATTGATCGTCTCGGCCACGGCGCTCGATACAGAGACAGATATAGCTTGGCTCCTGTGTGGCACATGGTGGCTGATGGTGTAGCGCTTTGATTGGTGGTTCAGAGTTCAGGGCTCATTAAACCACAGTAATTGTGTCAGCACGGCGTATGCTAATCCGCCCTCGCATAGCATTTCATCATCCAATATGATGAATTAACATGTAGTCAGTCCATACGCTGGTGCATTACAGCTTTATTAGCATCTTTAACGTGGTGTGAGGGTGTTGCGCGTTAGCACGCAGTTGATAAACGTCAGTTTCTAGCTCTTGTGACGCACAGAGAAAAAAATTAGCATAATGCTAATCTGCGGAGAAAAATCTTAAATTAAACAACAATACACGCTGTACTAGTATAACCAGTCTAGATAACTTCTACCACTGTAGAAATGCTTTGTATTTACTTTTATGAACACCTTAATGTTACTACAGTAAAACCGTGGTAAGGCTTAGCATTAGCCCTCACAGTAAACAAAAAACTACATTTAAAGGGTTAGTTCACCCAAAAATGTCATTTATCCCATAATTTACTCATGCCATCCTAGGTGTATATGACTTTCTTCTTTCAGCCAAACACAATCGGAGTTATATTAAAAAATGGGAGAGAATGGTATCTTAGATTTTGTAAGCCCAAAAAAAGCACATCCATCCATAAAAGAAAGTGATCAATACGGCTCCAGGGGTTAATAAAGGCCTTCTTAAGCGAAGAGATGGGTTTTTGTAAGAAAAATATCCATAATTATAACTTTATAAATCACTAATCACCAGCTTCCGGTAACGTCTGTCCGCATGTTCACGAGAGAGTCAAGTTCTGGCCTATGACGTAGGATGTAGGAGTAGCGTAAGCTTAGTTGAGAGTAGACGCCTCTCACGTTTTAAACAAACAGAGCTGGGCAACGAACTCAAGCTCCTCTGACATTTCTCTTTAAAAATTTTCATTTTAGACTTCTAATTCATGACCGGTGCTGCTCTATCCCCTGCGCTTCTGCGTTCATCAATACGTCATACGTAGGGGTGTCACGATTCTCCAAATCTTCGATTCGATTTAATTTTCGATTCTAAGGTCACGGTTCGATTCGATTCTCGATTTTTACTTCTTTTTTTTTTAAGCACAGGTTGCTATGCCATTTTTAGACTTTTATGCAATATAATATCTGACCTTTGTTCGCAATGTGCCACACCACATTGTCAAATTTAAAACATTTATTAAAGGAGAACTCCGGCGCAAAATGAACCTTTGGTCTAATTACACATTGTTACCTAGTCAACCGTTATCTGAGATTTGTTTTCATGATTATCGAATGTAAATAGTTTTATCTCTAAAAACAGTTTAGCCTACAAAGCTAGTATAACGCTAGTATATTGGGCATAGATCAATGACAAATAAAAATCGCTTGTTAATACCACTAACAAGGCTCAAAATAGCCCCACACTAACACGGTAGCATAATGAGGGTCCCTACCCTCTACCCTACTGTTAGTGTGGGGCTATTTTGAGCCTTGTTAGTGGTATTAACAAGCGATTTTTATTTGTCATTGATCTATGCCCAATATACTAGCGTTATACTAGCTTTATAGGCTAAACTGTTTTTAGAGATAAAACTATTTACATTCGATAATCATGAAAACAAATCTCAGATAAC